TACCAGCGACGTCACCGGGTCAGAAACGAACTCCTTTTTTCCGCTTTGATTGCTAGCTCCGCTCGCCTCGATGTCGCGGCGGACGTGTTTTTTTGAAAGGATTTAATTGAACCATGCTTCGGCAAATAAACTACGGCGCGCGTCGAGGGTCGCTTGTGTAAATTGTTATGTAGGGATTGGATCGACTGCGGACGCGTTCATTGAAACCAGGATGCTCGGTTATTCTCTGGTAACGGAGGAACTACGTTTTTACTGGATTTAAATGAGAAGAATAATGATTGTGCGCGGTGTATTTATTCTGTAGTGTTTGACGCGAGGCTGATTGGATATTGCAAATGAAGCGAGTATGTGTTGTCGATAATCGACTGTGCAGCACGAGGGTTTCAACGGCTGGAGTTACGATTTATTTCTCAACTGTAATCGATACAATTAGTTCGATATTAATATTTTGAGGAAAGAGAAACATTTTACGTGTGTTCTATGTTTATATTTGCTCTAAAGTTTAACCCTTAACGGAGCAAAAGTCTTTTTATTATTTTCTTCACTGTTATACTTGTAATATTTACAAATAACACGTTAAGCACTGCGCTAGGTCACTTCTATGAATTTATTTCCGCTCGTTATCTATGTTACGCTACTTTTTGACGGTGAGTAAACTTGAATAGTTCCCGGCCAGATCGTTTTCGGAACTTTCCTTACACAATAGAGACTGTAAGAACTGTTTATTATTACAACATACAAAGGACATATTACATGAGAGGATTTTCTAAAGAAATCAGCACCATCTGTTATACACACTTCCTTACAAACAAATAATTCAACATCTGCAAAGGTTTCCGGCTGCAGAGTTTAAAAACAAAAACAACGTTTGCTTTCTATTACAATAAAAATTCAATGTACAGTATGCAATATATTACACTCACCATTTTATTACTATACCTTGCATTAATGACATCGACGTTGCATGGACTCAATTCCAAAAACGATCTACCCGGGGATTTCTGAACGCCACTGTACATCCTCGTCAAATTCTCTTCAACCAGTTAACTGTGGAATTTAGTTTGGAAAATCTCTCATTGAACACGCACCAAAATCAAATAATAGAGTGTATACTAGTCAAAAGCGGAGCAAATGATCTATAATACATTCTAACGCGAAATTAAAGCAAAACGAAGAAGAATTACATGTTTATCTGGAAAAACAAATAATCGATCGTTGAAGAAATTAATACCGTTTTGCGTTTTGAGATGACGTGTATACTCGTCGAATAACGTGATGAAGATTTTCAATATGATTCAGCAAATGTATGTATTACTCATTTCATTCGAATTCAAAATAAATATTATTCCTCTGTAATCAACTATTACCATTAAAAGGAAATATAGGCGTAACGTATGCCTAGAATTTTTCTCTTCCCAATAAATTATTAATGACAAAGTAGCCGTATCGATCGGAGCTGAGAAAGAAATCATAGGCAAAGGGGTTAACGTGTTCACCACGAGACCGACACGTTGTTACAAGCCGAAGGGTTAATCAATTCGGTTATAGAAAAAGGCGGGTTCAGTGTGTCACAGGGTATCGTCTACAGCATAGATTCCTCTTTTTGTTGCAGAAGTCGAGAGAAGTGCAGGAGCTGCACCGGGGGCGGCGGCGGGTGCAACTGCAGGGGGCCCTCGGGGGTTGGCACCTTCCCCTGCCCCCTCGACACCATCGACCGCAAGCAACACCGCCAGCGCTAGCCCGTCGGACTCGACCTCCTCGTCCTCGGCCTCTCCTAAACCTTCTTCTCCGCTCTCCGCCGACGTAGCGGGCTTTGACAAATCGGTGCTACAGGTAAGACTTCTTCCGCTTTTTACTTATCCATCCTGCGCACAGTTCGCCGGCTAACAAATATGCCGCTTTATTAGCATAACGGACTTTCATAACTTCTGAACTGAACGGGGAATGAATCATGTTCCCGAGACGTTCGAGCGCCACGCAGTTACCAGTCTATACCTCGGGAGAACTCGGGCCAGCTCGACGGGATTTCGCGTGATTAATATTTTACACAGACTCTAGAATGTTACGCAAGCCTTTCTCGACGAATTAAACGAAACAAGAGAAGTTAAAGCGAACCATGGGTAAGGTGAAACTTCAACCCTTCGCACTCCAAAAATTTGCCACTAGAAATATTCAATTCATTTTTATGAGATATGGATGACATTTTTTTAAACTAAGGAATCTATTCACCAAATAAGGGAAACAATGGTATTTTATTTCCCCATTTCACGTATCGACAGATGAGTCAAGACTATGTTAAATACGGAATTTTACAATTTTGATGCAATAATCGAGTGGTGACTGAGGGGCACCTTTGGAGTGCAAAAAAAACGCCGAACCTAATTTACATTATAATCAGTTTTCGGAAACAATTTTCAACGTCTACGTTCACGAGTTAACCAAACACTCTGAATATTTCCCTCGAACGCGGTAGAATGTTCTTTTCAAAGAAATTCGCCAAGAATTTGGAAATTTCCCAGAGGATCCCCGACGAGAGACACTTTTGTCCGTAGGACGTAGCCAGCGGCGGCGTTCCGATAGTTTCGGAAGCATTCACGGGGCGCTCTGGTCGCGAGCGATCCGCGTCCTGCGAAATTTCAGAATGTTTTCCACGGAGGAACGGGGTGCATTAAATTGCTCGGAGCAACAGGCTGTATCGCCGAAGAAAAGGGTCACCGGATCGTCCTCCGGGGTCGAAACGATAACGCGGGAGGAATAATGATCGCCATTAAGCCGGCCCGAAGCGAAAATCCGGCGTTAAATTTAACGCGCGCGCGAAACACCGGGGCGAAAGTTGCTGCTCCCGTCTTGGGCCGGCGCTGTGGGACTGGCTAGTTGGGGGTGGCAACGGGGAACGACGGGGCGGAGGTTAGTTACGATAGTGCGGGCCCTCGGTCTGCCCCCGGGCGACCGGGCTAATTAAAGCTCATAAATTACTTGGACGTGGAAACAGACTGACGAGGATATGGCAGCGTAACGAACGGACGTGGCTGATGGCGCTGAAGAGAGAGCCGAACGGCCACGAAGAAATGCGTTTCATAGCGTTTTCGGGCGGCTGGTAGGGGTTTAAATTTCCTCGACCCGGTTCTTTTCCCTGTGCCTAATGATGTTTCCGGAATTTAATTCTCGCGTCTTTAGCTCGGGCCTGGCCGTGACGCGTCTTGGAATGATTCTTGTCGGAGGGTTAATGTAGTTTGTGTGAGTCAGAACGGGGCTGGAATATTAATTGTTCGGCTATTAGCACTTTTACTGCGAGGAATGCTGTAATTAATGTCCTCGGAGCTTTCTTACTGGGTATTATCAGTTTTCCGTGGTGTTTTAATTGAAAGATTCGTTACGGATGGAGAAACGAGCGAATTTAGAGAACCTGCTATTGTATACGTAGTAGGGTAGTGATTATTTTAAAGAAAGTATAAATGGTCTAGATAAAGTCGAGTGGGGTAAGTGCATCCCAGTTTTTAGTAAGTTCGACTTTCAACCCTTATATCTTTAATTTGTTTTATAATACTTTAATATTTATTGAAATCAACGAATACTGAAGTTAATACGCTTTAATTAACATTGACAGAAACGCCAATTTCACTTGTATATTTTAATTTGTTAAGAAAATTGTCAAAAATCCAACAGCTGTGCACTTTCCCTGAAAATAGGGCGCTACCGACCATTGAAACCGATTTGAAGCTTTATATCATATGGTACGAGGCAAGAGTATAACTATTGATATGTTTGCTATAAAATACTTTTTACCGCATTGAAATACGTTGTTTCGTTTTGGAGTAAAGCAAATAAATAAAATAAATAAATAAATTCATACAAAGGAATTAGTGAAACGTATTTATTCAACATAGCTAATTACTGTAAGTACATTATTCAGAGATGTAAAACAAGAAATAATCAAGCAGGAGGAAATAATCAATATTTACGATGTAAGAGCACACTACTGTTTTTCTCAATAAATTTCAATAATTCAACGGAAATTATTTATTTAAAGTGAAATATAAACAATATTTTTTATTACATACCAAAAAATAATAACACGGAACATACAATTTCCTTAAAAACTACAGCACATTTATGATAACCCCAAAGTAGACGTGCTCTTTACGCGTGGTGCTTTCGAACTGGTTGGCATAAATCGGGGATTCCCCTCATTAATTGGGCGACATCTAAGTGGATAGGACGGTATTAACTTTGAGTAGATTACTACATATTAGATACTGCAATTTCTCTCGTATTATACTAATAAGAGCTCGTTTATGCACTTACCCCATTCTACCTTATTTATTTTGCAGTTAAGATCAAGGAATGATGAGATTTTTAATACTGTATTATCTTCGCTCCTTTATACAAACTTCGTCGCCATGTAAGAAAGATTCTAATGATAACCATCGGCAAATACCGTACGTAATTCAGGGGATTCCACAATGTACCGCGAGGAAGTCGGCGAAGACAAACATTATTTAGAATCGGGGGGTAGTGGCTTCTTTCGGCGAGCGTTTCAAGAGACACGAGAAATTTCGCTCGGGGACACCGTATCTCGAGGAGGGCATTTAAATTCACGCGCCGTGGCATCGGGCAATCTGGCTCTGGAAATAAGGGGTAACGCGCGTTCTATGCTTCCCAAAGTAGGAGGGCGGTCTAACTAGATTACCGGTGTGTCGCTGAAATTAATTCCCCTTCGATGCCCCGTGCTCGGACATCGATTGATTTTCCGTCGACCGAGAACATCGCGCACAATTCACGTCAAATGATACTGTCATTCCTGCTCTCCGTTCCTGAATCACGTTCATCGTCTAACATTCTTATCAATAATTTCAATTACCTCAGAAAATCTCACTTCGCTTCAGGACGAAATACGAGATGTCAACAACGCGCAAGATAAAAGCACACGGTTCGCCGAAGGTGAACAATTGGAAATTTTTTTCAACAGAAAATCCTCATGCAAATTTCATTCGCAACGTTCGGTCCTCGCCGCGAGGGAATCACGTTCGTTTCCGCAGCACCGGCGCCGCTTATTTGTTGCGACAAAGATTTCCAGCGTCGACGTTCCGCTATCGACTTATCTAGTCAACCGCGCGGCGATTCGAGGCGCATAGACGTTGGTGAATTCCGGGGAAACGTAAGCCCGGCAGAATATTCTGCCGCGGTCGGCACGGGTTCGGTTATCAGGGACAGGAATTAGATTTGTGTGACGCCGGTGGACAGCGCGGAAACGGCACGGCAAAGCCGAACTGCTCATGTAGCCGTATAACTCGGTCAATTTTATCGAGTTACTCTCCCGTTTCTCTGCCTTCGCGCCATCCTGATCTTCATTCATCCCCTACCCGGACCGAAACGTTCTTATCCGGGAAAGGGCTGTCCAAATGCGCCCGAAATTCGCCGGGATCCGACGTCTGAGTTAACTCAACGTGATCTTGAATTTTATCTTATAATACATCTGTCGATTGATTCTTTTTTCTGAATTTCTCTCACATTTCCTGGTGCGTGCAGTTTGTGGTGTTGCAACGAGCAATGTTTCTCTTATTGTACGGTTATACTACTTACAGCAGTAGTTCCTTGAAATTCGTTACAAGAATTCTCTACTATACTCTACAAGTTTAGTATCTATTATTTTATTATCTTCTAAGTGTAATTCTCATTTTCCGTATTTTCCTTTTTATGTAATAGATCATGTTTCCTTCATTGCGTGGTTGTACTACTTGTCATCAATATAGAACGAATGTCGCGTATCTGACACGGTTTCGAATCCTATTTAGCAAAATATGTGTCGGTTGATTTTCTTAGTGTTTTTATTGTTTATCTCGCTAACTTTTTAACACTGTAGCAGGTTATGTCTCTATTATTGTTAATTAGTTGGCGATAGTAGTTTGTACTGCTGGAACATATTACGTCGATTGCATGTTTCCGAATTCAGTAGTTGAAACCGTTTACACGAGCAATTTACTTTCCGCCGGCGTGCCGCTGCCGGATAAAAATCCGTAATCATTTTCCTCGGGGTAACTTTTATTGTCGTCTAGCCCATTGTGTCGATCCTACGGGGCTACGCTTTTCCTATTTGCCGAGTCAACAGACAGACTCCAGCCGGTCCAACGTCATAACAGCTATCTCCCCCCTCCTGCCACTTCCGGCTACGCTGTCTCGCTGACAAGTATTGTGCTGTTTGCATAACGCGATGAGAGGCACCGAGGTAACGAGACTCGAGCAGGAATCGAGTTGCCAATGAAATTCTATTTCGCTTCATCCCGTGTTACATACGTGCTACCTGTAGAAGCGATCGCAGTCGACTCGGCTGCGCGTTCTCGAGAAGATTTGAAAGACTATACCGAACCGGTCTACATGTTACCACCAGGAAATAGTTCCTCGCTTATAGTATTCACTGTTCATAAAGGAAAATCAAACAAAGAAATCCAGTTGCTTGTTATGCCAATAAATTCAATAAATCTAAACAAAATATTAGAAAAGTCAAACTGAAACTACTCATTGAGTTCTTAAATATAATCTCGTAGTTTATAATTTCTAATAACAATATCTGCAGGATTAATTTCATTATGTAAAATATAGGATAACGGCCGTCATAAATATATGACGCTGGCAGCGAACGTGTTAATCAGCCACCGTGGAATCATACGTAATAAAAATCTTCATTAACTTACAGAAACTTCTGTTTCATTCTGTTTTCTCACATTCAAAAAATCTACAAAGCTCATCAAACCTTTCCAATCATCTCACTACACTAAAATCTGTGAGATCCAGAGATTACTTATTTTCATTATATTATTTCATTTCATTATATT